GACGCGTGTGAGGAAGGGGGTTGGGAACGGGTTCCGTGCATCCCGAGGGGGAAAGCCCAGGGTTTCCCGCTGTGCCCTTAGGGAGCCCTGGGGACCGTGAATCAGGGTCCCGCCTCGGACGGGGCGTTTCGGTGGCACGGGGCGCCTCAGCCCGCTCACAGGGCAGCGAGCCCCCCGGCTCCGTGCTTGAAGTAAGAGGCAGAAATCACGAGAAAGACCGTAACGACTCGGACAGACCGTGACAAGGGTAAAGTTGGGCGCAGATTAACGGATGAGTTCAAAAAAACCCTGAAAGGTTTTCCACTGAGGCGGGTTATCGCCATCAAATGCGATCGACTGTTAACGAGGAAGCCTCTCCGAGCCTTTTTTTTTTAATCGCTATTCCCCTAACAAAAACGGCACTTGGCAGGGGATGATCGAGAGATGCTTTTAACGAACACCTTGGAGCTGAGTCGGGGGAGGGGCCGGGCACGAATTTGTTAAATTTGTTAAGTCTGTGGCAGCTGATTTATCGCGATTTAAAAGCTGAAGTCAAGTAGTTAGGGTTGTTCGTGCTGTTGGAGTATCGGGGGGGGGAAGGGTTCGTAAGGTAAATAGGTCTATATTGCACAATTCTGTTGGAGTGGAGCAGTTTTTGGAAAAAAAAGAAGAAATCTGGTACTTTGAGAGGCTGTAATTGTCTGAGACAGCCATTGCGGAACAGGGGCATACACTCAAATTGTCTTAAAATTAGCTGTTTATCGCATTTCCCCCCCCCTCCCCCATTGTCCCGAATGAAGGGGGCTCATGAGAGTGTGGGTTGGGGGTAGGTCTGCAAACGTCAAATGATTAGCACCAATTGTGAGATGACTTTCTAACCACGTCAGGTTTTTTTTATCTGGTGAGAAGTAAACTTTCTTATGTCTGTTTTTCTGCGAACTAACTTCACCACTTGCCGCAATTTAAACTCTCCGGAGAGAGTTTCGCTCCTGCAGTCCTCGGTCCTTCTCCTCGGTCGCTTTCTGTTTATACTTTTGGGGAGCTGGGCTCGCGTGCCAGCTGATGGGACTTTTGTAACGTTTCGTTCTCGATCGGTTAACTTTAACATCACAACGAGATGAAGGTATTTTGCTTCGCTCTCTCTGTTAAACGTTGGACGCTGGCAGTAGCGGTGGCGTTCTGTTTTTGCCAAATGAGTGTGTTGATTTGAACTGTTTGAGTCAAGCCTTTGCTGTAATTACGCCGGTCTTTCTGTTTGTCTATCTCTATAAAATATATAGTCGGCACGGACCGTTGGAAGTGAAATGCCTGTCAGGTCTGAAACGTGTATGTGAAGAGAGCTTCCAGAAGAGCAGACACATATGGCTTCTCAGTTTGTTATTGCGAATTTGTCTTTAACTCTTTTGCCCCCAGCATCATGGTTGCTTTCTCTGAGCATAGTAACTGCGTTGAACGTGGCTGTGTGAGTTTTCCGTAGGTAGATTCACACAGTTTCTACAGATGAGGGTGGGGTCTGTTGTTTTGGGAGAGGTTGATACCTTAAAATACATCATTATGAGGCTAAGTTTGAGGGTTTATTTCGATTTTTGATTTTTGTCTTCAAAATACCTCCAGTCTTTAGTTTCTACATTAGTCAAACATCTGGGCAAACATATAGGTGTATTCCGTGGGGGATTGTAGTTCTGTGCTTAGATCACGGGGTTTTCTTGTTTATGTTAGCAAAGGAGATAGATCCCTTCAGTAGTTTGATTGCTCGGAATGGAAAGGGAACAGCCAACACGGATCAAGCCAAGCATGAGCACCAAAACCTCTACAGCAGCCCGTCGGAAAGGCAGAGAGCCCTTAGAGGAGGCCACCAGTGACATGGAAGTGGAAAACGAAGGTGACAAACAGCCTGGCAAAGCACCTCCACATGGTAGGTCTGAATGTTGTGGCTCTGATGAGGTGTAAATGTGATGATAGTGCCTGTTTAGCAGCAAGGTTGAGTTGAATTTAACTGTCCCAGAAAGGATTTGCTCTTTTCTCCTCTAGAAAGGCATATTGAAAGCCTTGACTCCTGGTGAGTCTTAAACAGCTTTTAAAATGATACAGAGGGCTTGCAAAGAGTTAAAGTGTTTGGAGCAGTGATCTAGTACAAGTGCAAAAGCAATCTGAAGACCTTCGCTGGATAAAGCCTATTTCATATTCCCGATCTGTGACATTGTACTTAAGATTGTGGTACAACAGCAGGATTTTTCAAATTTATATGCAGCCAGTGGTATGGGATTTCTTGGAATGGAATAAATGTCAAGTTTATTTAGTTAACTCTTAAAATGATTTGACTTTCTTTTTCGTGAAGCAGTGTATTTTCTTGAATTTTTGCTGGAAATGTCTGGAAAAACAGCAGTGTGTGTTTTTTAGGTAGCCAGATATGCAATTATTAAAGCAAGGTGTTTGACAGATGAATCTGTTGAAATTGGTGGCAAAAACTACTGTCTGTTTGAAGAGAAATTTGCTAGTAACTGTTGAAAAGCTGCTTTGCTTAGAACTAGCTGATATCCAGGGGGCCAGTTTGTTTTCATAACAAACTTCCTGTCTTTGCAGAGTAGTTGTGCTGTCATTACAGCTTTCAGAGCATTGTGCAGCGATCCCCAAATCTTGCAGAGTGACTTGTGAGCACGCTTGAAATGTGGCTTTGCACTCATTAATTAGAAAGGCTTTGCCTGTTTCAGATTTGTAGGCTTATTGTGACGGTTGTAGCTATTGTAATTGCAGAGTGCCTATTAAAGTGGGTTAGAATAAGAATTACATAATGAAAGAACAAGCCCACTAGTGAATCGATGGGACATCTTAAGTATCTCTTTTTAAAGATTCAGTTCATAGAAAGGAGAATTTCAATTCCACTTAGCTCATTTTAATAATTACAGGCAAAACTAGAGGTTTGGTTCATGTAGAAATGATGTTTGCTTTTCCAGTTGAACATTTTTAAAGATGCTTAGTCATTGAGAGCTTATAGTCTGTTTTTTCTGCTTATTTTGGATGGTTTTTAGCAGACCCAAGTGAGGTGGTTGATAATCGAAGTTTAGAAGAGATTTTGGGTAGCATCCCTCCTCCCCCACCTCCACCAATGACCAATGAAGCTGGTGCTCCTCGTCTCATGATAAGTCATATTGTAAACCAGAACTTCAAATCCTATGGAGGGGAGCAAACTTTGGGACCTTTTCATAAGGTATCTTTCTTTTATCCTAAGCATTTTTTTTAATGAAGGTAAGACTTCGATGTGTGTTAGTATTCCTTCCTGTATTTTCATGTAAGCTTACCCCAAAATAACTGAAAAATATGTGTTAGAACTATTTATATTTGATATTCTAAATTTTCATTATTGGACAGGAAAGAAAGCAGTTAAGTGCAACTTTCTGGTACCGTACAATTTTAATTTATCAGTAAACCTTAAAAAAGCATGCTTTTCTCTTTATTTCGTTTGCTGGAGAACTTCTAGGGGTGTGTTTGGAGAATGAGAATATTTTTTAGTGCCCACAAGAGAGTTACGTGGCTAATCATGAAACTTGCCTTGCGAACATGCTTGCTAAGAGCAGTATCGCTTTGAGTTAACAAGTTAAATTTTAGAAAGCTGAGCTGAGGTGTGGTTTTTTTTCTTAAATAAGTTGGGTGCTGCTTTACCTTTGGCAGCAAAAACTAAGCTATCAAATAGTCTGCAGTGTCATGCGGTAGAAATAATTGTTTAAAACTGTTCACAAATGAAATGGGTGATGTACACTGGCCAGGATCTATTTCCCTTTGAATATCACTTTTTTTTTTCCTTCTATTATCCAGCGTTTTTCATGTATTATCGGGCCAAATGGCAGTGGAAAATCCAATGTCATTGATGCGATGCTTTTTGTGTTTGGATATCGAGCACAAAAAATCAGATCCAAAAACCTCTCTGTGCTGATCCATAGTTCTGAGAAATATACGGACATCCAGAGCTGTTCTGTGGAAATCCACTTTCAAAAGATCATTGACAAGGTATGTATGCCTCTGTTCAGAACAGCGGAGACCTTTTTTCTTTAAGGATTTGAGAACTTTGTGTTTGGTTATTGTAGTTTGAGCTGGGGAAAACTTCATAGCATGATTAGTTTAACTTTGGGTCGTAAAACATCAGTTCAAAGTTAATTAGCTAAAAAAAAATCCCTGCTAATATTTTTAAGAACTGCACTAATCAATAGAGGAATTTTTTTTTTTCTGCAAGACTGATATCTGGTACATGTCTGTTTTAAAAGTATCAGAAATGTGTAACAATTGTTTTAAGAAAAAGTCATTTAGAATTCTCATCTGTTTTAACTCAAGTAAATCTGACTTATTTCTGAAATTAATAGGATCCCTAAAAATCGATGTTGGGCATGTTATGTATTCTTAAATTTTGAATATGAGCATATATATATAAAGAAATAAAACCTATTTAAGACAAACTTTTCAAACCAATTAGCAACTATTTTAGCTTATCTAAATTTAGAAAAATATCTAATGAATCTGAGATTTTCTAATTTATACTTTATATACTGTAACCATGCCAGTAATTTTAATACAAATTTTTCATCCAAAACTCTGGACCTTGTATCCTACCACTGAATATTTTTTGAACCTGATATTTTGTTTGAATGAAATAAAGTTTTGGCAAATTAAAAATAATTATTTTGCTTGCCAGTTCTTGTATTGATGAAAACTTACGGGTAATTTTGTTGATTTATTGCAGTTATGGTGTAAAGAATTTTATTTCTCTGGCTTTATTTAAATTTAATTTTAGTGGACTTATTCTAGCTGGAATATAGACTGTTGAGTTTATGGTCAGTCAAAATAGTGGGAAATGTGCACTGACGTTTCAAAAATTGTGTTAATAAGTGGCAATATCTAGCCTTTGAAGGAACAGTTTTAACTGTTTTAAAAGACACATTTTTTTCCCTTAGACTCGATGCACCTACACACATAAATTTTGCTTGTAGCTACAATAACCAGATTCAAAAGTTATTTAAATTTAGTACTTTTTTTACTTGACTTAGTACTAACCTCTAGGAGCTGACTTTATGATCTAAAAATCTAGGTACCAATTTGAGAATGCTTTTGGGGGTTAATCTGGCAAAGTGGTAGGCCAGTTTGTCTTTACAAGAAGCATGCAACAATTTTAACTTTTTGAAGTCTAGTACCAGCTTTATCTTGGTCGCTGCTTTGTAGGTAAGTCTAAGGTGTCTTTTGAAGCTGGTGTTGTCATATTTGTCACAGCTTTAATGTTTTGGGGTTTTTTTTATCTTCTACAGTTTCTCTTTAGAACTAGACAGCCTTTTCCTAGCTCTATAGAAGAGGAGTTTAAATGCAAACAGTATTTAAGTCATTCAAGACTTCCTAATCTGAACTTCAGAGGTGGAATAGCACAGCCAATTCAAATTTGAAGCATATCTTTTCCTTGGTAAAGAGAATAAATATTTTGTGTTAGAGGTGGGAAAGGCATAATATGAAGGCCATTCAGTTTAAACTATTTGGGCTATTTTTTGTCCAGTTCTCAAGGGAGTTTTTTGTTTGGGTTTTTTCTTTTCTTTTTTTTGTTGTTTTTTGAAATATGCAGCTTTAAGACAGCTCCCAATTCTACCAGACTCCAGAGTGCAGTTGACTAAAAACCTGAAAATAATAAAACTTCTGTGCCCAATTGTGAGTTGTGAGATAAACCTGTGGTATAGTAATTGTTTTTCTGGCTTTGTTTTTCCTCAAAACAGGAAGGAGAGGATTACGAAGTCGTTCCTGACAGCAATTTTTGTGTATCTAGAACTGCTTATAGAGATAATTCTTCTGTCTACCAAATTGATGGGAAGAAAACGACATTCAAAGATGTTGGTATTCTTCTTCGAAGCCATGGAATTGATCTGGACCATAACAGGTTCTTAATTTTACAGGTTGGTGTATGAGTAAAAACAATTTTAAGTAAAGCTATATTTCCAGTTACAGTTACAAAAAAATACTGTCTAGGTTTTAAGTCTTTTGTTTGAGGCCTTAAAGTACTCTAGCAGCACATCATGGTTTGCATGCTGTAATAAAGATGCGAATCATTATTTGCTGCTGTAGAAATTTAAGGAAGAGAAACAGTTGAAGATACTAATATCCATTTTTCTATTAAGAAATTTGTGTTCCTGACATGTGGATGAATAGAAGAGTTGTCATACTTGTTCCGCCCTAGCAGCACGTAAATATTGGTGTAGTAAAATAAACCTTAAACCCCAATATTATTGTGCTGCTTAAGCGTGGCAGAGATTCAGCAACTTGTTTATCCTTTAGATAAAAGTGCATCAGTATTAACTTAAATCTTAATGATTCTACTGTTATCTACAGCTCTCATATATAGATGTGGTTTTACTGGAGAAGTGTGTATACACAAGTTAACTGTGCATAAAAATTGAGTGCAAGAAAAAACACATGAAGTGTATTTTTGTTTACACTTGTTTAACAACTGTAGAGGACTCAGACTGGGAGCTTTCTAGCCAAATCAAGCTATGTTTTTAAAAGCTAGGGTTTACAACTCATACTGTAAAAAATAATCATAGAATTTGTCAATACAGTATCATTTATATTCATGTTTGAATTAAAATTCTAAGGTTTGCTGGCATCTGTTTGCTGTTTTAAAAGACAGGCTGAAGAGAACCACGCTCTTTTTTTTTTTCCCCTAGTTTTGAAATAATAACGGGGAATTTTTGCTATGAGTCAAACAATTACTTAAAATGTAAATTGAGTTAAAGTACTTGATGGAAATATTTAAATATTAATTCAATAGAGTAACTATATCTGCAATTACCTGTAATTATTTCACTACTATTACTAACAGCTCCCAAATCTCCTCTGAAGGATCATGGCCTAGAAAATTAGTGAACAGTGGGAGCCTCCCAAGGTCTGAAATTTTTCAATAGAGTTTATTTTAGGCCTGTTTTTGTCAAAGGAGCTTCCAGTTCCCCTCTAAAAAAAAATTCTAGATAGGTCGCTCTGCTTGCTTCACTTCCTCAAGCCTTTTCATGCAGTCCTTTTTTACAGCTACACCCACAAAAAGAGGATATATCTGTTTTGAAGTCTCATGCCAATTAATTATTCCCTCCCACACCTTAATCCTGTATTTTCTCTACCAAGATGGAGTGAGAAGTACCTTCAGCAAAACAACAGTAGTAAATACACTTTTTTCTATGCAGTTGTTAAGTATCATTGCAGCAAAATCTCTAAAAGGGAGAGCTTGCAGAGTCAGAGATTAAGGAAGGTAGAAATGACCGTGCAGAGATCGCTAAAGCTTAGTGTTGGCGAGCATGCCCTTCTACCACTGGGAGGAGGGGAAGGGAACGTTTGGGAGAGAGCATTGCGAAGGTGCTTATTTTATTCCCCCCTCCCCACGTGATTTGTTTTCTTCTCCTATTAACTGTTTCCCAAGAAGTTATTAATGAGGAGTACGTACTTTTTCTAAAAGCCTAAGTTTCACATTTTCCACCTGTACAATGGGATGTAAGGAGGAGGTATAACCAACACCTGAGGCAGAAAGCCATGGTTCCCACTGCTGTTTGTCTTTCATCCCACTAGACTTTTTGTGGGTAATGTATTATGAACGGCAGAGGGAACTGTACTGAGATTTTCTGTTTCTTAAGTCTTTCTGACCTGAGGCAAGGTCCTTTCTCTTTGCACGTAAGGTTGTGCACCTTTTTAAAGTGAAATCTACTGATTTAGCGATTCAGAGGTGAGTACTTCTTAGTTGGGAAACGTAGCAAGTTTTACAGAGCTTGAAAACCCAAATGCTAAAAATTACCGTTAGAAGTAAGTAAGGCTGTGTCAGAAGGGTAAGGCTGTGAACTGCTGTCACAAGGGTTGCCCCTTTTCCTCATCTGTTCAATTATTTAAAATTGGAGGTATAAATAACAAGCTATTTTCTTGTTAAAGCTAAGCTAGTCAAGGCTAATAACAATCAAGTTTACCTTCATATCAAGTCAGAGAAATGTCTCATTTAAAATAAGTTACAGATCTCTGTTTTTTGACTGTGATAATAGGGGGTAGTTAAAATATTTCACTTGTAATATGGCTTCTGGGCACAAATGCTAACAGCAGATTATCAAATGCTGGTTCTGATGTGTGATACAATGTTTGCTAGTTAGTACTAAAGAAGTTGTTGTAAGAGAACATGTCCTACATGTAGCAACAAAACCTTCAGATACTTGATTATATCTTGCTAGCATATTTAACATTACTCAGTGGAAAACATTTGGTTTTTAAGACTGCCTTTTTTTTTTTTCCTCCCCACTTCACCCCCTGTTTTGCAGTCTTTTTTTGACACAGGAGATTTTGGTGCCTTTTAGGATAAAATTTGACAGCTTAGGCCAGACTGAATTTTGTAAAAGTTGGGTAGGGCATGATCCAGGTACTTCTCCTGACGCCATACTGAAAATATTAAAATCAAGCTGCTCATGACTTCTGTGAGTAACATTACAAAAAACACCCGTGGAAAAAAACAGAGTATGTAAGACTAATTGAGCAGTTCTAGGAGTATTACAAATTCTGTGCCTGAATTAGCAAATTAGGGGAAAAAAAACCCTTGTTTAAAAATGGTTGTGGTTACAGTCGGCTACTGCCAACATTTAACAGGAGGAGTTTGTCACTGTTGCGATCCTTAAGTTCTAACGCTACACATCTCGTGTGTTTGATAAATTGCTATATGCTTCTAGTACTCTAGAAAACTGTTGAGGGTGCTTGCAATGAGCTTGCCACTGCCTGAAACTGCAACAGGAAAAAATGCATCTTGTCACTTGAGAAGCAAAAGGAAGCTAAGCACGGTGGGAAAATCTAGCATCTTGCTGCTATTTTTCTGTCTTCCACACCTAAAGCCCCAGCTTCAGTAACATAAATCTCTAAAGAGCAGCAAATGAAATTACTTAGCTTTTCTCCCAAGACTTTCTTGGCCACCAGTGTATACATACAGAATATTTGTGTGAGTTCTCCGCTCTGGGTGGGCTGGGCAAAACTAGGAAGGTACGTATGTTCGCTTTGCTCAATAGCAACTCCTCTGCACAGGTTAATCTTGAGACCAGAAAAAAATCTCAGCCTCGCTAGGCTGGCTGGCTTGCCTCTGAGGAGTTCTTAAATAAATGGGGAGCACTTGAAGGGATGTCGGTTGTGGACATCGCAAGGTGGGCATGTCTGGGGAGGAACGCAAACTGCTGGCGGACACCAACCGCTAATGCCTGCTGCAATTGACTTTTGCAGCATTTCAAGGTAAGAGGAGTAGAGTCCATCCAAACTCCTTTCTGCAGGAAAGTGGAATTCCGTAGGTAACTCCAGTTTGGTGACTTTGCAAATGATTATTGTAGAAATGGTAATAAATGGCACAAGACTATAAATTTATACTAAAAGACAGCACCATGGGAGCCGACTGAGGTGAGTTGACTTACGTTGGAACCTACTTACTTTCAATCAGATTGAAACCATTCTAAGTAAATTGTGTAGTAATTACAGTAGTATTTCACTTAAATGTATAGACTTTAATTAGGTATTCTTAGAATAATATTGAGCAAGTATAAACTACGGTGATTTTGTGTATGTGTGTTTTTAACTGATCGGCCTTTCATAATGTACCAAGTCTTATCCTATGGCAAGATTATGTTGCCAGAAAGGAAGTTCAGTCAAGCTCTTCACCTGCTGCTTTGTGGAAATAATGCAGGAGTCGCTCTTTCAGTGTATTGGAGAGGAAATGAGGGAGAGCAGATTTTCGTCTCGCTTTGAGATAAGCCAGAAGTTCCCAATTGTTGAGGTCTGCTTTCCTAATGAGGCACACCGTTTGAGCTAAAGCACCGAGTGGAGCGCAAGCTGAAAAACTCTGCTGGGATTATAAATGGGGATCTCTGCTGCCAACATTGGTAGAGGGGAGAGGTTTGTTCCAGAAAGGTCAAGGACAGCTGAGCTGAAGTGGTAGGAAGAATTAAAAAAAGTGTGATAGTATCATTAAGTAAAACCAGATTCTTTGTCTACAACGTTTATGTAAAAACAGAAGCCTCCTGGTTCATGGACTATGGAATCAATTCCGATGACTGTTTAATGCTGAACTGCATCCGGAGCAGCACGAGATATGGTGGTGTCTGTGCGGTTTCAAAAGGAATTCTATCCCGTTACTGGAAAACTTAGGCTGGCAATTCGTATGATTTTTATTTTGCAGATTGCAACACAACGTGGTAACCAATGTTTACTAAGTTTTCTCTGGAAAAACAGAGAAATATGGAAAGGGAAGAAAAGCTCTTTCCTAGGGTCAGTGTGTAGCCGAGTATCAATCAAAAAGGTGATTGGTGTGTTCCAGTTAAACTGAAGTCAAACCCTGCAGGTTGAGTTTGACAATGACTGACTTAGATTCCGAAGTGACTCCAGATTGGCACTCGGTTTGTGTTCTTGTCTTAAATACAAGAATGGCCTTAAAGCTTCTAAAATGAGACAGTTGTGCAAACAGATGGACAAAGGCTACTTCTAAATTATTTCCAGAATGCAGAACAGTCGTTTTGTGCAAACAACTGACTGTGGTGTAACGGCTAATTGTAAGTTTTTCTTTGGACAGCAGTGGCCTTGTAGATTTGTGTGTGTGCATTTATTACTTACTTGCTTTTCTTGATTTCCTACATAGCTTATAACTCTTCTCTTGAAAGGCAGAGCATGAAGTTGAGTATTTGATACTTTTCCCCTCCTGTATAATTGCCATCTGGTAAAATTGAAGGGTAGAAATGAAATGTGACTGCAGGTGTGGAATTGGGAAGAAAAAAAACCCGTGTTCCAATGTATGTTCTAACGTGCCCATGCTTCACTGTGCTTCAGAAGTGGTGTGGGTGGGTTTCAACACTGAAAAGCTAGTCCAGTTGGCTGGGCTGTAGAGGGTCATGCTGAGCTATCCCGAGGTTGTCAGCACTTCAGTTGAAGGTTTAGATCAAGACTCCAGAAATGAGGTGACAATGCAAAATCCTGGAATATTTTTTGTTACTTTTCCCAAATTTTCAGGGATGAGAGGTGGTGGCAGTAATTGGTCAGCAAACATCTAGCTCTCTAGGTTCTCCAGAAACAACTAATTGTAACGCAGGCGAGTTTTTTGCCATCAAAGAAGTACTGGCTTTTTCCTCACGAGGAGCTTGAAGGTTGCTGTCAGTACGCTTTCAATTTTCAAAGGCTTTTTGCAAGCCCAGTCTCATTTCATACTGGAATTTTAGTACGGAATGTGAAGGCTGTGTTTGGAAACTCCGTAACTCCAGTTCTAGCACTATCACAGGCTGAACGGCTACTGTGCGCAGCACAAATTACCGACTCCAGTTTATCACCACTGGAGGCGGGGTAATGTCAGCACTGGGATTAGCACATGGTACCATTCAGAGTCCTTAGCTTGGGAGTGAGTGCTTCCGTCCACAGCCCCTGGTCCCCATGTAAAGGAAGGGTGTTGGGGCACGATGCTGCTGTCTGCCAGGAGCAACAAACGGGAGTTATTTGCAGAAGGGAAAAGTAGCATCTCGTTTCAAGACTGATGGCAAGAGCTGCAGAAAGGCAGCTTAATGAGTAGGGCAAAACTTCATCAAGCAGTTTGATAACCTTGTGTAAAATTCAAATCTTTATATGCCAGAAAACACTGGATAAACTCAGGTTAAAAGCTTAGTGTTCTGAGAGGTTTTAGAAATGAATGCCTAGTTTTACAGAAAATAGTAGTAGTTCTAAGAAATGAGGTAATAGTTTAGCATTTTGTTGTCCCACCTTTTGAGGGCCACGTGGGAGGTGAAATTCTTGCCCTTCACAAATTTGCTCTAGAAGTTAGAGCAGCGGAGTGCAGCTGCCTGTTGTCAGAGCGGTGCTAGCACTGATTTCAGTCTAACCTGGGTACGGATGGGTGTGCATGCAACAGACTGAAATTTGATGAATTCTGTCTTTAATGTCTTAATCAAATGTACAGTGTTCCTAAAACACTCCTAGGATGCAAGTGTAGCTGCTGCTGATGTGCACAGAACTAAAAATAACCTTGTTATCCTCGTAATGTTAAAATAGTGAGAGATCCCGCTGATGATGTCATCACTTCTGTCAGCTCATCAGGCATCTTGATGGGTGCCCACCCACGGCATCTTCTGGGCTTGGATGCAGCCGGGACCACAGGTCCAGGCACTGCTGGCTAGTGTATTGTTCTGCTTCTCCCCCCTGTGCTTGTGCCAACCCTCTTGGACTTTTCAGCCAAGTCATTGAATGCAAATGGTTCATTTTATTCTGAGCAATTCTTACGCTGGTTGTGGAAGGTTTTTACAGTTAAATGTAAAATTTACAGTTGTAAATGTAGGCAGTATCTTAAGCATTGTGGTGCTGAAATGCTTTGCCTGGAGTGGAGCTATGTAAGGGAAGGTGGAATCTCCAGCTTCCAAGCTCCTTGAAGTTATCCCTCATATTTTTCCCTAGAGGAAGTGGCTTTCCATCTCCTTCTAGAAGAGAATGGCTCTCGCCCTTGTCTCTAACTTCGTAGCCTGCTGTCGAGGCAGGTTTCTCATGAGTTGCCGCAGCTGTCGGTTAACTATTGCTTAGAAATGTCTCCACAGTTGTGTTTTCTGTTAGAAAGCACCGATACCTGTTTCTGGGTGACTAAGCTGAGGTGTCCCGTGGAACTGTTCTCTAGATGTACGCTCATTGTACAGTGTTTGAGTTGACTACAAGCGATGTCCCAGCCTCCCAGGGATCGTTTTGGTCTGATGCAGGCTTCACACAGTGCAGAAACCAAAATTGGGTTCGTAATTCCATTCAGAGTTCTTGGGCGGAGCGTGGAGCCTTCCCAAATGCCAGTGGCTATCTGATGCTTGTTCACGCAGTAACTACATAACCTGTGGGTGTTTCGGTCTTTGTTAGCTGTCCGCCAGTCTCACCGAGCTCTTGGTGTTGACACCCATTTTGATGGTCTTCTCACCTAAATACACCAGTTACTTGCTGTGTTCACCTTTGGCTTTTGCGCACTGCTCCCTCTCCTTTCACGGGTTCATGCCTGTCAGCTCAAGGCAGATAACTCGGGCAAATAATTACAGAGGTTTCCTGCCGGTCTGCGCTGAGGCTTTTTGAATTGAGGTGCGAGGGCTGTGTTAAGCGTGCCCAAGCCTGGTTTCAACACACGTCTGCCTGCTGCTGCCTTAGTTTCACTTTCAGAAATGCTGTCTGTGTCTTGAAAGATCTTTTACTGGATAAATGAGCGAGGTTGTAATTTTTTTTAATGTAATTCAAATAATGGATCGAGTAATAGGAACAGGTAAAAAGGTTGGAAACTGTTGTCGGCTCCCAAGCTTTAACAGAATGCGGAGCTGTGGTTCTCCCGTTAACCACTGTCATCACTACTTGCAAGAACAGCAGGTGTGACTTGCTCAGTCTCCTCTATCAATTAAAATAGCTGGAAATGGCTTCATTCCTTATTATGTTAATTAACCGGGTCAGCTAAGCACTATCTTTTCGAAGAGAGGACCTTGGTAAATATTGTAAATATTAAATAGTACTTAATACTCTTTATTATTCAGTTATATATTCTAAACATTTTAATTTTTACCTGTGGTAAGAATCCAAGATTTTACGTAGGCAGACCAGCTACATCTCTTTACGTAAGATGAAGAATGTGTAGCTCTGAAATTGCTTGCCAGCGGTGAAGTAGAGGAGTTGGCTATAAGATTAGCAGTAGCCGGCCTGCCAAGGTCAGTTTGCGTGCGTCGTCTTCTCAACTGTACTCAGTTCACTTCAGCTTTCCAAAATGTGACAATATATGGCCAGAACTGAAGTCCCCAGTAATTCCTGGTTGTGTGGCCATGTGCTTATTTACCCTGCAGACAACCAACCCCCTGATTTCTTAATTTATAAGATTGTAGAACTAGATACATTTGGGCTTTGTTAGTTATTTGCTGTTCCATTAAATATATTGTAAGTATATACCATTACATTAATGAGCTATGGAGAACCATCACAACTGTGTCATCATCTTTCTTAGATGGCTGTGACCTAAAGATGGTTAATTATACTTACCCAATGGTTAAAAACAAGACTTGCATTCCTTGATTGTCCCTAATCCCTGTGCTCGTGCTAAATCCAGGGTAGTTTTGTACATGAGGGGGATATGCAGTGTAGAAAATGCTTAGACGTGATGCTCAGCACCTGAATGAAGTATCTGCTCTGTGATTGTTTTTTCTTGGGCATAAAGAGAGGAAATGCTTTACTGCAAGGGAAACAAAATAGAGACTTATGCCAGTTCTACAGAACTTGAGGACGTTAGAGTTTCCTACCCACAAGCAGCGTCTCGCTGACAGGTGGGTTTTTGTACAGAAATCCCTTTCATGGCAGGGGAGCAAATGTGTGACAGGAATTGCATAGAGTGGAATTGCAGTTATTAGAGAAATAATGGTTTGGTATTTTGAGAAATAAATAAGAAGAGATGGGTTGTTTTGGATTGGACTTTTAACTTGTCAAACCTTCTGATGGTCTTTAGGAACAGTAATAGTCTTTACTCAGTGTTATTATTCAGCTTAGGAATTTAACGTTAATGCTGTACATAAAGAGAAATGAAATGAAGGAAGCCTAATACTTTAAGAGTGTTTTTCTTTTCCCAACAAGGAAGTCTCAGTTCATCCATCGGACGTGATTGTGTGGACCTTCTGTTTGTAAAGAGAACCCTTCAGGGACTTCAGTACAGATTAGGCTACCTTGCGACTGCTGGGTGCTATGTGACCTAGAGAGCATGCTTTATTCTCCTTTTTTAGGCTGGGGAAATTCGTTTTGAGTCTTTAGAGAAATACGCAGTGCTTAGACCTAAAGACTGGCTTCAGAAGAGACACTGGTCCTGGTGCCCATCACCGCCAGGCACTCCCGGGAGGAAATTTCTGTTCCTGTTGGTCTTTGTTTTCCTAAATGCACTGCTACTCTGGGTAGCCAGTTTTGATTATTTTGTTCTTTTTTTATATGCTAGAATATGGTCGCACACCTGCTTTCCAAAAATAGTTGTTTTTCCAGAATACAAACTCTTAGAAAACAAAACCACAAACACATTAAGAAAACATCAAACTTTTCTTTTCCAAGGGGGAAGTTGAACAAATCGCGATGATGAAGCCGAAAGGCCAGACTGAACACGACGAAGGCATGCTTGAGTATTTAGAGGATTTAATAGGATCTGCACGACTGAAAGATCCTATCCAAACTCTGTGCCGCAGAGTAGACATTTTAAATGAACAGAGAGGAGAAAAGGTCATTAAGAAAACATCAAACTTTTCTTTTCCAAGGGGGAAGTTGAACAAATCGCGATGATGAAGCCGAAAGGCCAGACTGAACACGACGAAGGCATGCTTGAGTATTTAGAGGATTTAATAGGATCTGCACGACTGAAAGATCCTATCCAAACTCTGTGCCGCAGAGTAGACATTTTAAATGAACAGAGAGGAGAAAAGGTGAGTCTCGGAGTTTGGGCTGAATGGTAGACGCAAGATCTCAGCTTTCAGCGTCTCGTATTGGATGAACAGTTCACACGAAGACTTGGTTAAAATCTGGCACTTCTCTACAGGTGTACAAGTAGAGAGAAATTTTGAGTTATCCTGTTGCTCAACCTCAGTTGCCCTTCTTTAAATACTTGGAATGCGCTTGGCTTTCCAGGGCTTTGGGCTTTGGGTTTCTCACAGGATTTTACCTGCTGGACACTGATCATATTTGCCTGCTCTAAATGCTTCTCTGACTGAACAGAAAGATTGTCATTAGCTGAATATATCCACACAGGGCTTTTTGTCTACCTGACTCCTGTTGCTAAATAGCACATGGAGAAGTAGCAGGGAAAGCTGTCATACGCTAGGAAAGGGAGAGAGGAGAGGAAGGCAAGACCATTGGTGGGGTGATGCACACGCAGCGGTGTGAGGAGGCTTAAAAACACAGAAATGTGTGACCTGAGCTGTGCAGACCTATTGCAGAACTTGCTTTCATAACCTTTTATTTGTGCATTGAGTTCTAAAAGGACTAAATAATACCAAAGTTCTTTTTACTTGATGTGTCCTTGGTAAATCCTAGTATGCTGTAGACTTTTTAAAGGCTGGGAGGGAAAGCAAGAGGTGTGTAGTTGCAGGAATTAAGCGGCGCTAGTCAAAAGGTTGAAATACGGTAAATAGCACAGACTGCCTCTATGTGACTCCTTTATTTCTCACCTACATCTTCCTTGATTTGCCTGAGCTGTTCCTGACAGCTGTAGCATCCCTTTTTAGTTTTAAATCACTGTTTGAATTGCCCTAAAAGGACAGTCCCTGCTGTGGGAACGGTGATGTGTTATTTCAGAAAGCTAAATTGCCTTGCGGTGTCAATTGAACGCCATCTCTCCGGGGGGTGCGTGTGCTCTGGAGGGGCCGGGGAGGTTCTCTCCTCGTGGTTTGTTCTGTAGTACTGGCAGTAAAGTCAGCTCTGGCTCTGTTTTGTCTAGTTAAACAGAGTTAAGATGGTGGAGAAAGAAAAGGATGCCTTGGAAGTGGAGAAGAATAAAGCCATTGAATTTCTGTGTTTGGAAAACAAAATCTGTAAAGAAAAGAATCGTATCTGTCAGTACTATATGTGAGTAATTCCTTCAGGTTTGGATTTGGCTTTGATGTGGTAGCGGTGATGTTCCACTCCACTTATGTATCTCTAATCAGAAATACTTTGCGTTTCCTAACAGTCCGGCAACATCTGTTGAGCAGCATGTGGCTGGTGACTTACAAAACCCTACCAACAAAAAAAACCCCACCACTCAAAACCTTGTTTGCCAGCTTTTTACAAAGTAAAATAGTCAGGGAAATTACTCTCTCAGAGCTTTATGCCACTTAAAGACTATTTACCTCTGAAGTGTCTGAATTGCTAGATTTCCTTGCTGTTTTCTAGTACACGGTCACAGTTAATAACGAATATTTGGGTTTGCTCTTTACATAATCACCTTGTTACACTTCATATTGGAAATATATTCATTATGAATGTTAGCTTTATGGAAAAAAGTGGAGTTGGGGGTTTTGTTGTTGATTCTTTTTTTTTCCCAGCTATGACATGAAGAAACAAATAAATGATATAGAAATGCAGAAGGAGAAAATTAACGAGCAAAGAAATGAAGTTAACGAGAAGAGTACTACACTTGCAGAGAAAATGAAAACCAAGAGTAAAGCTTTGGAAAAACTCGAGAAGTAAGTACTGGAGGCACAGGTTTGGAAGCGAAGGGTGCTGTGTTCTATCTGCTCTCCAGGCGTGGTGTTCCTGTTCGCAAGACTTCCAGGAAACGCTGCGGGAGTTGTGTTGGGGAACACCCCAGAAAGCAGAAGGGTACAGTAGCTGCGTGGCAGGATGACCAAAGGGAGCACGGCTGGGTGCTTTTACCAAAACCGTACATTACCTGGTGCTCAGGGTCGCGTACGGTCTACCTAATCACTCCCTGGCGTGGATTAAATGATAGCTTGCATAATGCTTCAGTACATGGATGTTGGGTATTGTTCTCTGGCTTCCTGAAGAACCTCTTACGCTAAGTTATGTTTCCCTGAAGTTGCTTTGTCTGGGTGTTCAATCTCCAGTCCAGCTGCAGTATTAACCTCCTCATCCTCTGACATCATAGCAAAGTACTGGAGAGAGATGAGAATGGTAAATTCTATCAGAGAGAAAACCAGTGTTTCTGAACATGGGTTTGATATTGTTAGTTTATCTTTTTCCGATGGTAGTTCACCTCCCTGGGGAAAATACTCAATAATAGTATTGGATGTTGGTTTTTCACAGAAACTGGGTAGTATTGGTTTAAATTCTGCATGCTTGGTTACTAGGCCAAGTTCTAGTGACATTGCTTTCATAGGGTATGGAATAAACGAGTCTGTCTTTTTTTCCTCTTCAGAAAAATGGATAAAATTACAACATTCATAGAGGAAAAGAAAGAAAAATTTACTCAGTTGGATTTGCAGGATGTGAAACTGAGGGAAAACCTGAAACATGCCAAAAGCCAGGCTAAAAAACTGGAGAAGCAACTTCAAAAGGACAAAGAAAAGGTAACTCTCTGCAACTTGACAGACTTAAAGAAGTGTGTAGTTGGTTGCTTGAAGTAAGAAACTCCTTGTGCAGCTGGGATGAAATAGCAAAGGGCACCAGTTGTACTTGGTGCAACAAAGAAGGTGGAAACGTGTTTAAATGTGTTTTTATTCACATATTTTGTCATTACTCTCCCTTAAACCAGTGCTCGTGGCACACCTTACCATGGTAGACTGGCTGGCAGTGCCAGGCTGTGTTCTGCCTACAGGCAAAGTCCTGTTGCTTCTCACCTCTGATGCCTCGTGGCTTGAAGAGCATCTTTTTTTGTTGCAGTTACAGGAATACTGCCTGTCCTTGCAGTGCTACCTTTTCAAAATGGATTTTTTTTCTGTTTCCCTATTTAGTTAATTTAATCAGTATATTTTATCCAGCTGGTTGTTGCCAGCTGTTCCAGATCTTCAATCGCTCTCTGGATCGTGTGGCCTTCTGGAAGCAGGTTTTTAAAGAGTTAAGCCTTATTATGATCCAAAGCCTTGAGTTCTTATGCGTGAAGCTGTGTTCTTGTGCTGCTGTGGCTTCCTTCTTGCTGGATGGGCTCTGGACCTGCAAAAGCCTTGCAGATAAAATCCTGGCCTCCTGCTAGAGCCGCAGTCTAGCTTATCCTTCAGACACTACAAAGCTTTGTTAGGGCTGATGCTTCCTGTGACTTCCATGTAGCACTTGAAAGGCAGGATTTAAAGATGAGGCAAAACGTCTTTGGTGCACTGGGGGAGGAAGTTAAGTGTCTTTTCCTTGCGTAGGTAGAAGAACTGAAGAAAGTGCCTACCAGCAGTGAGAAAACGATTGCCGAAGCAACATCTAAGAAATCGCTGCTTGAGAAGACAAAAGAGGAAGAAGAAAAAAAACTCAAGCAGGTTATGGATAGCCTTAAGGAAGAAACACAAGAGCTTCTGGAAGAAAAAGAGGTTTGAACTGTTGTGACTTGGTAGACTTGCTGTGTTAACAGGTGGTGTACAGTGCTGTTTGATGTGACAAGTGCACTGCCTCATCTGTTAGTTCAAGGGAGATTAATTCAGAATTCATAAGCAGAGCTAAATCATTCTCATTAAGTTGTTTGCTTTTTATAGTGATCACGTGTCATCCAGTATATCATTCATACATGTATGCTTAATAGTTCCACACTTCTGGTATTTGAACACATGTTAATTTGCTCCCATCGGAATGTTTAAGCCGATATGTTGCTTAAATAAATAAGCAGATTTTGAAAGGGTGTGCTCCAAGACTTACACAGCTGTAACCTTGTCTTTGAACTAACAGACACCGACTAGAACACTTGGCTGTTGTCACTGATATTAGCTGGCCAGGCACCCAGAGGCTGGAAATTTATCCTGTCGATTTGGGGAATTTATTTTCTGTGCTGGAAAACAGGTTTTCTCCATTTGATCTGTAACATCGAGTTCCTCCCAACTTTAGGTTGAGAAAATGATACAAAGATATTCATAGATCACAGAATCACAGAATGGTTTGGGTTGGGAGGGCCCTTAAAGCCCATCCAGTTCCAACCCCCCTGCCATGGGCAGGGACACCTTCCACCAGCCCAGGTTGCTCCAAGCCTCATCCAGCCTGGCCTTGGACACTCCCAGGGATGGGGCATCCACAGCTTCTCTGGGCAACCTGTCCCAGTGCTCCCCACCCTCTGCGGGAAGAACTTCTTCCTGATAGCTAATATAAACCTCCCTGCTTTCAGTTTAAACCTGTTACCCCAGGTCCTGTCACTGCAGATAATCCCCTGATGGTCTTTATTATTATAAAAAAGCCTTATTTCATTTCTATGCAGAATCTGTTAATAAATTAAGGTATGCTTGTCCTTCTAGGGATCGTAACTAGTAAGAACGTGTTTGTTTCATCTTGCTCACTGTGTGACTGAGGTACTGAATCCCACACTTGTCTCTTTCCGTTTGGAACTGTGTCTGTTTTTGCAGAGCAAAGAGAAGGAGCTTATGGAGTTCAGTAAGGTGGTGAATGAAGCCCGTTCCAAGATGGATGTAACCCAGTCAGAGCTCGATATCTATCTCAGCCGTCACAACACTGCTGTGTCGCAGTTAAATCGGGCAAAGGAGGACCTGACGCATACTTCGGACATCCTGAAGGAAAGGAAGGCTGTTATCAAAGACCTAGATATCAAATTACCCCAAACTGAACAAGAGCTAAAGGAGGTGAGACTTGCCTTTCGTTTCTTTGAGTTAAAACACCATGTTGCAGCGCCCCCCCCAAAGTTCTGCTCTTTGTTTTAGCGATAATCACGGTGAAAATAAATGAAAAACTGCCTCCACTAAAGTAACATTTAAAACCTGTATTCTAACACCCAGTTACCCCATGAAGTATCAGATTCCAAACTGAGGTGGGGTTAAACGGGCGTTAACACTAAGCGCTGAAAATTAAACCCCGTACATACCTGGAAGGGAATGGGTTGGAGTGGGAAGGGACCTTAAAGCCCATCTGCTTCCAAGCTGGTTTCATTGCCGACAGTCATGAACCTACGACTCCCCGACTGCAGTAGTTTTCGTGAGGCTGAGATAATGTCTGTCTTCTAATCGTTAGAAAGAGAAGGAGCTGGAGAGGCTGGAAAGAGAAGAATCCGACGTTAAGGACGTTGTTCGAAATCTGCGTCAAAAAGTTGAAGAAGCCAAGAGTTCTTTAGCACAAAGTCGCAACCGGGGAAAAGTGCTTGAGGCTCTGCTTCAGCAGAAGAGATGTGGAAATATTCATGGAATATATGGAAGACTGGTAAATATTCAAAGCCTAGTATGCTTTTTGCCTTAAAGGAACAGCGTGGTGGTCCTGTAGTTGGGTGAAAGGTAGAATTCCTCACTTTCCTCGCACTCTTAATTTGGACAGCAGAGTGGCAAATCCTGTGGACTCGCTAGATATGAAAAAGCTCACGGAGGTCCCTCTGCTCGGCACAGAGGGAAGACAGTGGCTGTCAGAAAGCTTTCTCTCTTGGGCAGGCTAACGTTCAAGCTGGACTGGCCAGCTGCAGGCCCGCAGGAGTGTGCTGCAGCCAAGAACACTGCCCGTGCTCCGGGCCGTCCTGTGCCGGGCTGCGCCTGGCAGCCGTCAGGATTCCCATTCCTTTGAACGTTAAGAACGTACCGGAGAGGGGCCGTGGAGTGGTGCGTTGTGCCTTGCGGCGCCACGGAAAGCGGAACCGATCGGTAACCGCACGCTTGGCAGAACTGCCAGGGAACTTAGAGAATCGTACGAGTTGTGTGTAGCTCTGTGTGAAACGAGAATTTTTGTGTTTCTTTCAAAATTTGTAAAACGTGGTCATCCCTGCTGCTTCTTTCCTCTTGTTTTACTTGCAAACATGTCATAGAATCACAGAATGGATTGGGTTGGAAGGGACCTTAAAGCCCATCTAGTTCCAACCCCCCTGCCATGGGCAGGGACACCTTCCACCAGCCCAGGGTGCTCCAAGCCTCATCCAGCCTGGCCTTGGACACTCCCAGGGATGGGGCATCCACAGCTTCTCTGGGCAACCTGTCCCACTGCTTCACCACCCTCTGCGGGAAGAACTTCTTCCTGTTATCCAATCTAAACCTCCCCACTTTCAATTTAACCCTGTTACCCCTTGTCCTGTCACTACAGCCCCTTGTAAAAAGTCCCCCCCAGCTTCCTTGTAGCCCCTTCAGGCACTGGAAGGCTGCAATAAGGTCTCCCTGGAACCTTCCCTTCTCAGAGGAGAAAGATCAGAATGGGCAGTGTCCTGGTTCGAGGAGACCCAGGGAAGCTCTGTGGCAGCGAAATGCCAGGCGTGCTGGGGGTCTTTCCCAAGCAGCGCTGATTTGAAGCCCTGCAGATCAGCAGCGGATGTAGAGCTCTTTGTTCCTTCTTTTCCTAGCACCGGACAACACACGAGTATCGCTGTAAACGTAAAAATGCCGTATTTGTACGCTGCGGTTTCCCCTTTCTCTCCCCACCTACTGCTCCAAGGAGAAGTGGCTTTAGGAACACGGGTTGGTTTGGTGTCTGTCCATGTAAAAGCAGGTGTGCAGCAGCAGGGCGCTGTGCTACGGCTGGCGTGTGCTTTGTCTGGCGCTCTGCTCTCTCTTGCCACAGAGAGGAGCGTGAGGTCGATCTGGTCTTGGCTAACTCATGGCAGGCTGTGTGTGCTGGGCCTGCGGATACACGGAGTTTTCCGGCGAGGAATGCCCCGTACCCGTATCGAGTAGGTGACTTGCGAGGGCCTGCCCGGCTGACGGACGGCAGGACCGTGCACGCAGCTCAACAAGCGACGCTGTTAGGCCAAACTGCCTCCCTCAGCCGCTGGCCTGCAACCGGTAACTTGGCCTGCAGACCAGCAACCGGCGCTACCCCCGGCTCTCCCAGAGGCACGGCTGCTGAAGCTCTGCCTTCACCAGTGTCTCCTGTGGAAACAAGCACGCTGGAAACACGAACAGCAGTGTGCGGGGGTGTGCTGGTATTTTACACCTTCTAATCAAGGTTTAAGTTCTTTGACAGAAAATGGTTTCATGACTTGTTTTCCTCATTTCACTTTGTGTAAAAACTGTCATTTAAAGACCACACAAGCTAATCGGTGTCCTCCTGCCTTCCCCCTGCCCCCCATCCATTAGGGAGACTTGGGAAGCATCAGCGAGAAGTACGACATTGCTATTTCGTCCTCCTGCGCTGCCTTGGACCACATCGTGGTGGACACAATGGACACTGCACAGACGTGTGTGAATTTCCTGAAGGCCACTGGCATCGGGTCTGCCACGTTCCTGGCCCTGGACAAAGTAAGTACCAGCACTCCAGCAAACACCACCCGCGGCACTAACCCTCTGCGTGTATCCTGTATTAATGTGTGGGTGCGTAAAGGTTGTTAGGGTGCATATGTATTAACAAAGGTACGGATACATGGGAAAGAG